TCTCTCTCTCTCTCTCTGTCTCTCTCTCTCTCTCTCTCTCTCTCTCTTATTAGTCAACCAATCTCATTGGACAGTTTTCGGTGGCTTCTTTCATAATGTAAGGGTTAATATATTACGTGGCAAAAAGGTAAAGGGCTGAGAAACAAAGTAGAAAACGAAAGAGAAGGAGAAGGCCTGAGACAACATGTAGAGTGTAGAGTGGTACTCTGCATTGAAGAAGAGGTGTTTAAAACTGCTCAAACTGTGTTTTTAGCATGTCCGGCTCACTGCCTTACTACATACAATAAGCTTGTGCTACTTCCAAGGCCAAACACCATCCCATTAACTTGCTGGAGTTTGTATTAGTTTGCGGGGTGCATCCACTGTGTGCATGCCGGCCCGAGATGCTAACAAGAGTTGATCGGGTCTGCAAGCGACAGCTGTCGTTTTCACCAGCAAAATTCAACTTAATTTACTCGCGCGTGGAACATGAACAGCGGTCTCCTGGACAAAAGTCCAGTGTTTGTTTTAAGTGTCGAATTTGATGCAATTTGACACATTCAATATTAATAAAAAGAACAAGCGAATAGCGCTCTGTAGCTGCAGGGGTTGGGCTTCAAGACCCACGGCGTGTGAAGCCTCCACAGTAGAAGCGCAGTTAGTAGTAAACAGCTGAGTTGCATATTTTTAAAGTGCTTTAGTGTCTTTTGAAAGTTGTAAGTAAGACAATGTGTCTATAATAATAAAATAATTAAAACATAATCATGAATACAAATCAGTTTTAGTCAACGTCTTTTCATGAGCAAGGCCCAGGTGGCTCATCTTCTGCCCCTGAACCAGAGTGTATTTCACTGGTGATTCTGATCGTGAATACCCCGACTTGGGTGTGTGACACAACTACTATATATGTCATGGCAGGCGTATAGCTCAAACCCCTTTCTAATCCATCACCAGGCCTTGGCATGTCGTTGACGGGTAAGGGATTGGACATTCCTTTACAGCCGTCTGAGGTGTTGAGTGTGTTTATGAGCTGTAAGCAGCAACACCACAGTTCAAGCATTGAGCCCCTTCTGAACAGCCGTGTTTTGAACGAGCACCCCTGAATTCTGGTTTTAATTTCAGCAAATAGTTCTGCACAATTTTCTGTACTGTCACATCAACCATGTGCTGTGTCCTTCCAGCATTTATTTTCTGACTGCTGCAGAGACATATTTATATATATATAATTATTCAACTAGCTATGCAGAATCTGTCAGAAAACACTTAGAAAGCAAGTTCAAATATAGATCCCGTGAGATATTTACTGCACCCAAGAGAAGAGGGTTAGGAGGTCAACCCAATAGAAAAAGAGGAGGACGATGATGAAAAGCGAGTGTGAGGTGAAGGAAGAGGGGGGGAAAGGGGAAGAGGGTGAAGGACGGATAATGAGTGATGGAGAGGAAGAGACCATTTTATGGGCTGTTTGAGAGGATACTCTCAGAGAGCCATTTAGCCTTCATTCTCCCCTGAGCACGCACATGCTTTTAAAGGAGAGTGAGAGTGAGAAGAAGAGAGAGAGAGAGAGAGAGAGAGAGAGGGGGGGGTGAAAGAGAAAGTGTGTTTTCACTTTAATATCTTCATCATGCACAATGTTTGTATTGTAAACACTGTATGAATGAGTAAATGCTTTGCCATGAGCTGAAATGCTCTGCTTATACTATTTGTTTTCTTTGAGTTGAAATGAGCTGAAGTCAACTGACAGAGATTAAAAGGGAGAGAAAGGGGGAGAAAGGGAGAGAGGGAGACAGACAGCAGAAGAGACAGAGATGGAAGTGAGTAACATGAAGTAGAAAGCTGATAACAGTAACAGAACCTGAGCGATTTGTGGGTGAGGAAGTGTGGAGACGGGTGCAAAGAGCGAGAGAACGTAAGATAGTGGAGCAGGGATAGGACTGTGTGTGTGTGTGTGTGTGCGTGTGTGTGTCCAGTAAAAGGTATAGGAAACGATGTGATGCGTAGCAGCATGCTCTTTCTCATTGCAACTACAGTGTCAAAACCTTGCAAACAACTTCCCTTCATTTTTTCTCCTCACATTCTTTCATCCTGTCTTCTTTCAGTAGATAAGCTGTAATATGGCTCTAATGCAGTACTATTAAAAGCCTTATGAAATTCACAGAAGACCGCACATGTATCAGTGCTTTAACACATGTTCATGCTGAAAGGAAATTAACTTTTTTCACGTTCAAAATGAGCAGATCAAATAGAAAGTGCACATATTTCCCTCAAGGCGCATTCCCCAAAAAGTGGGTTACATGAATTTGAATATGTTTCATGTAAAAGAGTCATTCAGCCTTTGTAGTTCAATATCTCAACAGTGATTTTCTCATTTAGAAATGTACAATTTCTTTGGTGTTTGGGTGTAAATGAGACCCTGAAGTGGTCATATTCTTCATATGTTTTAGGAAATGTTATCGCTCCTTTAGAGAAGCCAGAGCAAGAAACATTGGGCATCAAAAATGTGCCCTCTTTGGGATAGCACACGTCTTATATTACACTAAATATGCTATTATAAAAAGTGTTAAAAGTGAAACATCTGTTGACATATATGTTCAAAAAATGATTCAAATGGAAGTATGTTTTACGGAAATAAAAAACGCTCCCAAGCTTTATGCGTAAAATGGTGAAATCAAATGATGAGTTGGGTGAAAAAAGTCAGACGATACAGCATTGTGGAGCGTTGTGGAGCGTTGAGGAGCGTTGTGGAGCGTTGTGGAGCGTTGAGGAGCGTTGTGGAGCGTTGAGGAGCGTTGAGGAGCGTTGTGGAGCGTTGAGGAGCGTTGTGGAGCGTTGAGGAGCGTTGTGGAGCGTTGTGGAGCGTTGAGGAGCGTTGAGGAGCGTTGTGGAGCATTGAGGAGCGTTGTGGAGCGTTGAGGAGCGTTGAGGAGCGTTGTGGAGCGTTGAGGAGCGTTGTGGAGCGTTGTGGAGCGTTGTGGAGCGTTGAGGAGCGTTGAGGAGCATTGTGGAGCGTTGTGGAGCGAGCACAGTGTGAGGTGTTCTCAACACATATCTCTGTGACTCAGTTTAACCACGCCCCCTCTGCTCTGTGTTCTGCTCTATAAATGTTACTGTGATATAAGCCTTGTTACCACGCAGCTACACACACACACACACACACACACACACACATCTCATCACCACAGTTCACTGACTAGATCATCAGTCATGCATTCAAATAGATTAAGAGAGCAGCTTCTATTTGAAAACAAGGGACAGCATCATGAATACAGGCTGAGGTAACACATTAGTAGCACATCTTTAAACCACCAGAAGCAACAGAAATACTGCATATGTGTACGTGCTATTTACTCTGTGTTCATGTTTTTTCAAGGCACCGAGGACCTTTATGTGCGTATCAGTTGGTGTAGATGTGTATGAACATTGTAGCTTACGGTGTGGTCACATAAGCCCTCTGTTTGACAACATCTCCCAACACTCAGCCCTGAAAACAAATGTGACGTCACAGTGTTGATGTGGGTAAAAGATAAATGTTGATTCATCAGCCTGTCAGAGAGATGCTACCGTTACAGTATTGTCTGGTAGTGTAATGTTGTCCCTTACATGGTGATGAATAATGAACAGAGTGCATCTCTGGTTTACTGTCCGGATGTGGAAAATATGTTTGTATTCTATTAACTTGCTCTGCCAAATGTGTTACAGAGGAAACATAATTGAAAAAACGCGGATATGTTTTAGAGGAAACATTATAATGAATGTAATCAGGATTACATTCATTATAATGTTTCCTCTGAAACATATCTGCGTGTTTTTCAACATTTAATGAAGACTACAATCTTTCTTTCACCTTAACCGAGTTATTTGGTTTGTTTGCTTAAACATATCCAGAAACATTTTAATGTTGTTTCAGTTGATACTAGAAAAAAAAAAGATTTAAAATATGTTGACAGTTTATAACATTGTTCACATAATAATAATAATAATTCAAAATAAGTCTCTTTATTATTTTGATAGTCTGCTATAAATGTACTCCCTGCAATACTACAGTTATACACAAAGTATATTTATTAATACTAATGTGGGTTATTTTACGATTGTGTAAAAACATCTGTAAAAGTGAACTGAGATTTGTAAGTGTTGTAGAATTTGTGGATGTAAAATGATGTAAAACATAATTTTATACTTTGAATTGGAAGTGAACTCTAATTACTAAGTGGTCTCAGATTTGTGAATTTGTAAAATGATGGGATGGGTGAGAGTACTTACATTCATAATGATGTGAAACAATTGTTAAATGTGAACTGAGATTTGTAAATTTTACTCTAAATGTTGACAATGTACTCAAGAATGAAAATGTTAACTAAACAAACTGTTTAATGTAAAATTCGTCACACAAAAAGATCCTCATCATCAGACTGAATGTTTGGAAGATGTCAGCCACAGCTTGCCTGCAGCTGGCTAATACTAGCTACTGTAGCTGCCCCCCCGATATATAGTAAATACCAGTAACCTCACTAAGATGTTGCTACTTCATTCCCAGAAGTCCCTTTGTCTGGAGCTGTGTGTGAGTTATTACATGTACATATTCAGATTCAGCTTCACAACTTTCAACACAAACCTTTACAAATGATTGAAGTACAACGTTGGCTTCTGAAAATGCCCGGAACAAGAGAGTGAGGGAAACACAAACACACACACACAGAGACCCCCGCCCCCCCACCCAGCCAAGAGGGTCATGCATGGAATGAAATATGTGTGGAGCCTGATAAACCATAAACCTTGCACCATCTTGCATAAATGAGATAGCTGCTATTTATGCCTTTAGAGCAAATGTTTACGTTACTGCTTTGAAATGCCGCGGCATAATTACCGCCTCTGTATCTATTCCCCAGAGTGGAGGTCACATCTCTGCCTCAGCAGCAGACAATGATTAAGTCTGGGTGCATTTCAATAATACCAAGTCCCTCCTTCTTTCTCTCCTACTTCCTTTCCTTCCTCCCTCCCCCTCCCTGTCCTCCTTCCTTCCATTAATCTTTTCTTTCTCCCTCTGTCCCTCCCTTGCTTCCTTATCCAATCAATTTCAACTCAATGTCTACAGACAAAGCTGCTTATTGTGTCTTATATATATATATATATATATAT